GGAACATAATAATATTATAAATATTAAATATATCTACTCACATTTAATATTTATCCACTTTCAATATTGTCCTTGAGGGGAAAACATATAGAAAATCCATTATTGTAATATATAATGAAACTTCCTGTTTTGTTACATATTATTTTGAAAGTAAATAACTACATACATATAAAAGACATTACGTATGATAATTTAACGATACTGTAACCAAAATCGATGGAAAATGTATTATTTTTTTCCATTTTCCAACAGCTACTTCGGTCATGACGAAATTAAGTAATACTGGAGTATAACCTATGCAGTGTTGCCAGATTAGGTATTTTTTCGAATTTCCAGTAAAAAATTTTGTATTTGCAGAATTTTGAAGAAATTAAATTCTTGAAGAAATGCAAAATGGGCTTGGACATGGTTAAAAAAAAAACTTTTACTTCCAGAAGAAGTCATATCGATTTGGGGAAAAAATATTTTACGTTTGGATTAAAATCAAAATCACTGAAACACAAAAATCTGAAAAAACATTGGATTCAAGCACTGGATTCAAAGACATTGCCCTAGTAGTTTCCAGGTTAAAGTGGAGATGAGCAGGCCACACGAAGAGACGTGAGGATAGACTTTGGAGCCGTAAGATTGCAGAGAGGAGACCAATAATTAGTCTGAGGAAGTTGGGAAACAACCCATGCACTGAGCCGATGACAAGTAGAACTGTGGGTGAGACCTGGATGCGCATGACGTAGGATTACCCAAGCCTTCACAATACACAGATACATATATATATATATATATATATATATATATATATATATATATATATATATATATATATATTGTTTTTATATCAGATACTCTCAGATTATTTATTTCAAATTAATCATCGCTTCTTGATTACTTCAATGTTGTGGCATTTTTTTATACCACGAAGGTGGCAAACAGGCATATATCCCGTTTAATTGTAAACGGTTTGTGTAGCCTATGGACACCTGCAATACTAGGGATGTCACGTATTTTTACCTATTATATATAATATTTCACGTGTATTGCATAGGCGTCACATTATATTCATTCTAAGATGACCATGATCATTTGAAAGAATCACGAATAGGCCTATACTCAAAAATTAAACTCTCAAATTGTAAAATTTAAGAATAAGAGTGACAAAAACAATGGATTTCGTAGGAGAAAACGCGGTAAATGGCTAGTATAACTATTTTACGTTAATTGCACCTTGTTAAAATGTAATAGGCTGGATAGTATTACATAATGTTTTACAATTAGCCATATTATACTACGCCGAAAAGACACAAGACGCTGCCCAATTTCCTTAACATTATCTTAAAATAATATTACTGAGTAGTAAATACGTAGTTAATTAATGTAATGGTTTGAAAAACTAACTAAAGGATTGTTTACCTTATACGAGTACAATATAGCAATTACTTTCCTCAACTTATAAATTTATATTACATGAAAGTCTTTTTCTTGGTTTAATTTTGTATAAGATTATGATTACGTTTTCCAAATAGAGGTGTTCTAAATTCGTTTGTTTTTTTTTTTATGGATGACCTGCGATTATATCGCCAATTAGGAATCGATTTTAATAATTCTTTATGCAATCGATGGGGCATGTTTTCGTGTTGATCTTGTAATATTTTTGTGATTAAATAAAGGTAACTTAGAATAGCAAACAAGCTAACGGACCACCTAATGGAAAGTGGTAACCCTCACCTATAGACATGAGCAGTAACATGGACATAACAGAGTATACTGTTTCGTATATGGTAGCCCTCATACGTTGCCGTTCCTGAGAACTAAGATGTTATTCCTCTGTACCCTGTAAATTCGCTGCCATATCCCACCCTTCAAACCGAAACACAGCCATGCAAACACAACTGCTCCACGGTAGAAACACGAATAGGACAGAGGTGCCCAAGCAAACAACTTTTGAACAAAGTCTCTCTCTGGTGAAATGTGTTATATAAATAAACACATTTTTTCTTAATACGTTATCTGGAAGTCGTCTATTTCATTGGTTTTGTTACTTCTGAAATCCATATGTGCGAAGTATCGAACAAAATATTAGTCATAGTATAGTATATACATGAAATCTATATTGAAAAAAAAATTAAAAATCAACGTTACCTGTAGTGTTTTTGACAGAATCAGACAAGTTTTCCATTATCAAATAGCTTATGTAACCCGTCAATTAGTTTAGTTGATAGACTCTTAGTTTTCATATAACTTGAGACGCTCGAACGGTACATGCCTATCTACGTCCTCGTAATCCGCCCATCAACCGTGTAGAATTAAAGTGGTCGGACCACTTTAATGGATGAGGGGAAAGTTTTAGCAAGAAACCAAACAACAGTGTTTCCTTTCTACATTTCCTGGAAACAATTTCATTATAAACTTGTACTGTAATGGTAGCTGCCTAAGAAAATAGATGGAGCAGTTGGCAGGTGATCTCACGTAACGTACTCCATCTACAATGGCATCTGGAATTATCTGCCACAAAGTACAATTGTCTTTAAGTGATGGAATTCTTAATATTTGCAACTAGCTTTGTACCGTGGCTATGACTGCGAGAAATGGATTAAAAAGTACCCAATTGATGAATCCATGATATAGACAATTTGTATACTAAACTAATAACTTAGAATGGTAAACAAGCTGACGGCCCATCTTATAGAAAGTGCTAATCGTCGCCTATAGACATAAGCAGTACCATGGACATAACAGAGTATACTATTTCACTCATGATACCCCCATGCGTTGCCATCCCTGAGAACTCAGGTGTTATTTCTCTGTACCTTGTAAATTCACTGTCATATGATATCTTCACCACCTATTTGGTGTCAGGAGATTATCGATCGCCATCATTATTAAAAAAAAAGTTTGAAAAAAGAAGATCCAACACTCACAATCGTTGAAATTCTCCATGATGCCAGCCAAGTAGGGTATTGAAGCTAGTGAGCTAGGGGTAACCGCTTTCGGTATTGAATCCGGGAAAAAGGGGATCGCCCTAAGGCCCTTGCCTGAGCCCTTCTTGGAGAGCTACAAAGATACAAAGATACGAAAATGCCATCAGAGTCATCGATCCTAGTGACAAAAGGGTAGTCATCCTCGATGATAAATTCAGAGCAAAGTTGCTCTCCTCGAGGCCCCCACCTGAGCCCTCGTCGAATAACTAAGAAAACTCGGTCTATATGCACAAAAGTTTCAGACATGGCTTATCGAACCACGGCTTAACGTGCATTTCGTATCAGTCAAGTGACAATCGGTTGCAATGATTTTAAACATGAATTTGAAAGTAAAGATTTAGGCTCGAATTCGATCTTGAAATCCCGGCACTTCCAATCAAGTAGAAGCTCAAATGCCGTCAGCTCAAATGCCTCCTAATAATAAAATAATTGCCGTGTGGTCCCGGCATAGGAAGCGGTTTCCTTTCCCGGTGGAGTAGGATGTCGTACAAGGCGACTAAGAGAACTGAATGGTCAAAAGATGGACAGCAGTGTTCCTCTTAAGACATCACTAAAGCCTAACTGCGGTTGATAATACACTTGCCAAGCGTAGCAACTAGTGGTCAAGGCATATTTCGGATGTCATACTTGAAAATTACCAATTAAAACATAATATTTTTTTTTAATCTTCATATCGAATCCCATAGGAGTCAACGACAAGCTATCCTATAATAAGAATCCATGTTACATTATCTCAAGTATGATTATAAATTAAAACCTATGTACTAGTATGTGCAAGGTCAAGTTCAATAATTAATCAATGTATTTTTAATTCTTTCTGATTCTGATATATTATTAATCTGAAAATGAGTATGTTTGTTCGTTTGTCCCCTCTTGGAGTATCGACTCAAAACTAAATTTAAGTTAAATTTGTTAAATGTTTAGTACTTAGACTGAAGGAGGATTTATTTCCCTGTCACACAATTAAAATAGCGAGCTCATTAAATTAAAAATAACAATAAAATCATTAATATTTAATATTTTTAAAGTATATCAAATTAGAACTAAAATAAATTAACCCAATATTGCTGTAATAACAAAAACTTTTACCATTATTTTAAATAATATATATTTTATTTTATTTAAAATAATCAATTTAAATTATCAGTAATATAATACAAGGTTGATTGATATTTATTTTCATTTACAATCCACTGAATTCTTATTTTAAATTATAAATAAAAAAAAGCGAGTTTGTTTATTACCTCCTGGCACTTTAACGGTTAATCAATCATTCTGTCGTTTACACGGTCATTATATGCGGGATGGAGAAGTAGCCTTACTTCTTGTCGCGTTTCAGTAAAATATCCCAGTCACGGGAGCGAAATTGCGGGCGAGAGCTAGTAATGAAGCAGGTCATTTAAATTCACTGAATATACTATAAAAGCAAGTTACGCCACAAGTTGTAAGCAAAATAAGGGTTTTGTTATTATAGTAACTGACTAACTTCGAATCTGAGCCTACATAGATATTCTCTATAAGAACTATATAACATATGGTCACGATTGTGTTTTGAAAGTTTTTATTCAAAATTTTAATATTCTATTTGTTTTATATGAAACTATTATATAATTATATATATACACTCTTAAAAAATATTTATTAATTATTTTTATAATTTTTATATACATATTCATTTATCTTTATCACTATTCCAATAATGATAGTATTACAAACTACACGATTTTTTATATTTAAATACCAAAATAGTTTTATATTTATTGATATTCCAAAAATCACATTTATATATTAAAATATGCAAAGTGAAAATCAATAAAATTGCTCTAAAATCACAATTAAATCACTCACTGAATATATATTTTTAAATAATTCGTTTAAACATAATAAACACTAAAAAAGCACTAAACGTTATTTTTATTTTACACTATTGATTATACACTTTACAAATATAAATTTCGATTAATATTATTTTAAATATAAAATAAATAAAAAATAATAAAGTGAAATTTCAAATTTGGAACTAACCTTCGCTCGCCCGCGTTTCTCTCGAGTCGTCGACGATCAACAGGTGGGGTCGTCTGGCGCGCTCGAGCTCAAGCCCGGGTGGCGTAGTACCGTATCGCGGGACGCCCATCGCTGCCGGCAGTCTGGGCGCGAATGGAGAACGTTCCTGATATGCGAACGTCGCAGGTGGTACACCTAGTACCTACCCCGTCCCAGTCAGACCGAATATAATAAGGTGCCCGCAAACTGTGGGTTTCTCGTCAATCAATTCCACCAGTCAGGGTGATTGATCGTTTGCGGAGTGTAAACGATTATCATCACACCTTCATCAGTCACCCAATTAATACTGTGGCTACTGCGATAGTTTAGAGGATGGAATAAATATCTGTTAATATAAATATATGTTTTAGTTACAATGTCTATATATTGGCTCAATAATTAATATAGATATCCGACCAGTACGGATGATATTCAAATGGGTAATAACCTTTTTCCCGCCATCAATGTCCAATCCAAACCCAATATAAAAATATTGAAGCAGTACTAATACCACCCATGCCTGCAGTCAAAGACGCATAACTCCTTTACACTTTGTTATTTGTATCACATCAGCTTCTACTACTATGTTTAGCACTAGATACTATCTAGTACTGAATATTCACCCTTCGGGGGTTTTACCAGTAGTTGCCAGGTTTGACAGGCAGATTGGCAAGTACAGTTAGGCGTTAGAGATGTTTTAAGAGGGACGCTGCTGCTCATCCCTCGTCCTCCCTTAGTCGCCTATTGCTACACTTACGGGAAAGGAAGGGGTGGCCTATTCTAGCCGGTTATCTATGCCAGGACCACACGGGAATAATTACATAAACTTAATTACATAAAAATAAGATAAATAGGCAGCAATGGGCGGCTTTTATTGTGATACGCCATGTAGAACTAGTCTGTTTCTTTAGCCACTTACTTATCAAAATCCGTGCGTACCAAATAGTGGGCAAATAGCTAGCTTAGTAACATATATATATATATATATATATATATATATATATATATATATATATATATATATATATATATATATATATATATATATATATATATATATATATATATACACATATTTTAACATATTTATAAACATAGTCATGATGTTTCAGTACGACATAGTAATTCAGTTACAGAGTACAGGGCCATAGTATATTAATTCTGTGAAATGGAAACGCATAAAGGATACCATAAACATTAAAATGTATCTTGTTATGTCTATGGTGCTTTTCATGTTTATAAATGACGGTTATAAGATTCCATCAAATAGATCAGTCTATATGTTTGTCATTCTAAGGTACACGGCGGCAAATATTATTTCTGCCCATAACAGAAAAACTGCTAAATTTAGAGTGACCATAGTAGATTTTTGGCCCAAGTGGCAAAATTTCGAAATCTGCTAGTAATCATACGAGGTTAAAAAATTTTGCCCGAAGCGGCAAAACTTTGAAATCTGGCAGTGATCATAATAGGTTAGAAGTTTTAGCCCGTAGTAACAAAATTTCGAAATCTGGTAATTATCATAACAGGCTAGATGTTTTTGCCCGGAGTTCTGATAGTGATCATAATTGGTTATTCTTACTCATATCTCTAAATGTATATTTTTAAGGGTAGGTGTTTACTTCTTTTTTTATACCACTGAGGTGGCAAACAAGCATACGGCCCACCTGATGGTAAGCGGTTACCGTAGCCTATGAACGCCTGCAATACCAGAGGTATTACGCGCGCGTTGCCGACCCTGAAGAAACCTTTTTACCCCCCTTTTGAAGAACCCCATGCTGTAGTCCCTTGGGAAAACCTCGGCAGGGAGTTACTTCATTTGATGTTTTTATTATTAATGATAACAATAGGATTTCATTCGATCAACGGGCTTATTTTTTAATTAAAAAACTTTGAAGCAGCATCCATTACGTACGTACGCTTTAATCAGAATATACTCGAATAGTTCCAATTAAAAAAATGACAAAATTTTAATTAGAGCTACTTTTTTTTTTCAAGAGAATGAAATATACAAATACTAGCCGCAAATATACAAATACTTTCCGCAGCTTCGCCTCTTATATACTGTTGCTGGTACTTCCTTCCATTACTATATCATTCATATGGAAGAAAAGAATTATTACTAATAGAGACTAGTAGCTACATTTCCTATATAACTTCACAAGACGAGCTCTACGCGGTTCTTCATGAAAACCATGGTGGTATATTCTATTCTGTAATGTGGCCACTAGCCTCCGTTACTAATAATCCCTTCTCCTCCTGGACGTAATGGGTTAATCATCATCATCACATCAGCCATCTACTGTCTACTGCTGAACACAGACCTCCCCCAAAAGGGGGTCTTGCCAGTAGTTACCCCGTTTGGTAGGCGGATTGACAACCGCAATTAGTATTTGGTAATATTCTAAGAGGAACGCTACTGCCCTATCCTCGACCATTAAGATCCCTTAGTCGCTTCTTACGACACCTACGGGAAAGGAATGGAAGGGAAAGAAATTGGCCTATTCTATGCTTGGACCACATGGTAACGGTACGATGTTTTTCATCATCGATTCGAGGGTTGCCGTCGGGTATTTATTTATTAAGTGCCAAATGAATAATATGTATTTTTAAATAATGCCCCCATTCATTAGTCGTTTAAATAGATTAAATTAATCAATTATTTTTATAATCCTTAGCTGCTTTTAAATCTTGCATCACTCAGCCGGTAACTAATGGTTTTAGCATTATGAAACTTCATAAAAACGTACTTTAGCCAAAAGCTTTTAAGTATATAAAAATTATAAAAAAAAACTTTATTTCTACAATAAACAGAAGTACGGTGGAATTTTGTTGTAAAATATGTAGATTAAGTTATCTCATTTATCCTCTAAGCTTACTCTCTACTCTATTCATGCAATAACTCTAAAAAATGGTGTAAGAAGTCTCATAAAATACGTCATACAAATTGTATGACTTTTTAAAAGAACTTTCAGAATAATAAGGTTTTCGATCCATCAGATTCTTTTAATCATTTTACACAATAATATTGCCATTTTTGAACCGATTTTCAAAATTCTTTTTACAATTGATAAGGTTTACTCTCATACTGATGCTTCTATTTTTATTTTCCAAGTAGAAAATTAGTTTGTTGCGTAGTAAAATTTATTTAGCAATATTATTAACATTAATAATGTTATAAATTAAATTGCAATAAATTTTAAGCTGTTGAAAAATTTAGAAACTAAATTCGGAAACTGAACCTGTGAAATTTACACCATTCCAGCAAATTTGTTTACGCAACCTAAATATAAATAAAATGTATGTAATAAATCTATCTACAAAACCTGTCATCATTCATTGCTGCGTATGTATTCATTGTGTGTATGTATTGGATAATTTTTACAGTATATACACGTATGTACACGTGTGTGTGTTTCATATGCAAATAAAAGATAGGTTGAATACATATATACATATGTATTTATCCTATCTTTTATTTGCATATGGAGCAGCTAAGCCGTTACACGGCAACCCATTGGAATCTTTTGTGCTTCCCCCTGCCTTACACCATCATTTTATTGATCCTATGTGTTACCTTTGCAATATATATACCTGTGCAATATCTCGCGGTTTAAGATCTATAGTCCCTGGCTCTGAATAAGCCGTTTCCAGTAGACACACACGCACTCCCCCTCCCCCTTCTTGAATACGCCTATGGTTTTACGTATACTTAATGACTTTTACCTTGCATATATATATATATATATATATATATATATATATATATATATATATATATATATATATATATATATATATATATATATATGCATTTGCCTTAGGTATATTTAGAGGGGATCTTACTATGCCCACCTTAGAATTGTTTGGTGCCCACCCCAGAATAAGTAGCGGAGCGTTCAACTGTAAATAAAGACATGTCCGAGAGTACATGTACGCCTTTTTAAAAGGGCCAGCCCCCCCCCCCTGTCTGGAAAATAATGTTAAATATGTCAATGACATTTACTTGTAACTTGACTTAATTTTTAAGAGCCTAACGCCTTTTGTAATGGAGTTCAATGACTGTAATTTAAACTTAATACATGTTTTTATTAAAACTTTAATAACATGCAAATTAATTTTGTTTAAATAAAAATAATACAATATATTTTTCCAGTAATCCCACATTCATAGTTAGGCCTTCATAACTCGGTATTTTGTATTAATGTAGAGAAAATTTTCAACTACCTACTAGAAAAGTTTATATGAATAGAAGCGTGTATGTCACCTTCAGTCTGTTAATGAACTTGTCATATAAACCTGACTAGCTATAACTCGTGACATTGCTCGTGTAAATAAACACACTATAATATACTTTGAAAAATATAATTCATAAAATTTCTGCTCGTATTACATATATATTTACAGGAGGATTATGGAGTTACATCACAGCCAAATACCACATAGCATTATTATGTCCCCTAATATGGATAAAAAGCCAGTTAAATGTTATCTCTTTGTATTTATGTAATACTTAGCAAAATGTGTATATTTTGCTAAGTATTTGCGTAGACACAAAAAATGTAACCTATATTCTTAATAAATAGCACGTATGTATGCATAAATTTTCATTATGATTTGTTAAATTTTTAAAACAATAAGATGCAATAAACAAACTGACACACATTCACATTTATAATGTTACGAAGGATTTCTTAATTTAACTTACTATTTACCTTATTTTATTGTATTTACGTATGTACCTTTATTGTAAATATAATATATATATATATATACACACTCACACACACACACACACACACACACACACTCACACACACTCGCGTACTCGCACGCGTACACGCACACACCCACACAAACCATGCACCTACGTGTACCCAAATTCACATGAAACATGTCATATAATTAGATTATCCCTGTTCGCCGCAACATAACTGTAAAATGACTTGCTTTGACTTCCACGAGACAGGCTTTGCCTAGTGTGGGGTCATAGCTATATTGTACCATAGGCTAATTTTGTTAAAGGAAATAAAGATATTCTTATTCTTCTATACACATACATATATGTCCTTACTAATATTATAAATATAAAAGTGAGTTTGTTTATATGTTTTCTTTGCCGCCTTAACGACTCAACCGGTCGTCTTGAAATTGGTATATACCTACTGTTTGCGCGTTCCCTTATTTTTATATATTTTAAATAATATTATTATTAATTTATTCTTATTTATATGCTAGTTCAAAAATAACAATAGTAATCGATACCTAGTGCTAAATTAATTTCCCTTGATCCTATCCTATCCAATCACCGTCATCGTCTTTACCTCCGAGCTACAACAACCAATGAGAACGCCGGAAGCTTCTAAGAAACTTCAGAGCCGTCTTCAATCTTAACCGTCAATGTGACCTCCGCAATAGACGGGTAAATGTAGTTACTGCTTTCATAATTTACAGTGCTGTGTTTGTAGACAAAATTTTGTGTGTGTACATTAGTGATAAAGTGACGGAAGGAATCAAAGCGATTCATCATATAATAGCCCACGACAAGATGGTGAGTCCTTATATCCTTTTCGTTATCTCTTTCATACCTAGATTGTTTCCTATAAAACCCACCACCTACTATTTAAGAATCAAAAGGACATACACCACTAGTTATCCCGGTCACGTGGACAAAGTCGCGGGTGTAAACTAGTACTTACACAAATGATATCGCGTAAAAATTCGTAGAATTAATTGTAGCATCGTAGCACGTAGCATGCCCGTAGGCGTACTACGTCGTAGCCACGTAGTACAATAAATACAGTATTACCATAGTACAAAATCCATACAAAATATAAAAATACATAGTCGGCAATAAGTAATCTAAACCTAAAATACCGCCATGTGATTCCGGCATAGAATAGGCCACCCCTTCCTTTACCGTAAGTGTCGTAAGAGGCGAATAAAGGAGGGCGAGGAATGGGCAGCAGCGTCCCTCTTAAAACATCTCTAAAACCTAACTGCGGTTACCAATCTGCATGCCAAGCGTGGCAACTATTGCTAAAACTCCCCAATAGGGGGAGGCCATTGTTCTGCAGTGAACGTAACGCCTGGTATGATGATGATAATTGAATGTGAATGATCAAATTTTTGTAGGCAGTATTAATATTAGTCAGTCTATAATAATGATTTTAATTTGGAGACCATGTGGAGGTCAATATAATCTACACTGGTAGCAATGGGGACATTATTCCCCGTCACTAACAATCACTCCCTCTCCCCCTCAAGGTCATTGTTCTATTCTCAATAAGACTATAGACTTTTGACTACAACAGAATATCAGTGTTTTGTTCTTTTGAAAGCAAAGCAATAAACTGAGTTTGATCATTTTGTACTGCTATGACGTACGCATGAAAGAAAAATTATGTTACTTCTTTTATGTATTTTTCTTTTTTTGTATATGTATCTATGTATGTTGTTATTCGTCTGCTATAAGTAATGCAAATAAATTATCTATCTATATAAGTACTTTATGTAAATCATAAATCTTTATTTACGAAAAACACGATGTAGAAATATATTTCCATGCATATATATATATATGTCTAGCTAAATTTATTTTGAATACAAATCACAAAAATTTGAATCTATATTACGCGTTATCTGAACCAATTCGGATGATTCCTTTTTTCATTAAAAGGCCTTGTTGTGTGATTAAATAACATGGATATTATAAATTTCTAATTATATATTATTACATTTTTAATTATTCCGGACAACCGATGGGGAAGAAAGGTTCTTGAGTGGCGACCTTGTACGGGCAAACGCAATGTAGGACGAACCCCACTAGATGAAGTGACGACCTCAAAGTAAGTATGAATGAATGAATGAGTATACTTTATTTGCATTATACAATATAGGAAATAAACAAGACAATTTACAAACATAACGATACAATTGTATAAGTACAGTAAGGCGGTCTTATAGCTGAGAGCAATCTTTTCAAGACAACCTTAAGGTAATGGACTAATTGTTGTACAAGTAGGTACTATTTATCTACAAAAAACATTTCATTGCATTAAGTCCTGATAGTGTATTTAAAATATGTATAAACAACACGAAAATTTAAAATTAACCTGAATATAGTTTTTTTAGGGAACAAAATCAAAAATTATCATTTTATATATATGTGTTGCGGCTCCATTCTTATATAAAACAAATCAGCCAATTGCAGCTTCTATAAATCGCGTGATATTATTTTCGCCATAGCCATTAGCCCTTATTATCGCATTCACCCAGTCCATCAAATTTTATAACGCATTATCATTCGAATAAACGCATTTAGATGTGTGTATGTATGCGTGTGTATGTGTATGTATATAATATATATATATATATGTATATATATATATGTATATATATACATATATATATATATATATGTGTGTGTGTGTCTGTGTATGTATTTTGCATATATAAAAACCGATCAATTGTGTCATTACGCAAATGTGAAAGCGATTCATGGCTTAACATAGATATAAATTTGATTATGTATTCAGCTGTAAGTTTTCCAAAAAATAAATAAATAAATAAAAGAGGAAACGCATATTTTTTTATTCTTAAACATATTACACAAAAACTAGTCAAAATGCGCATAAGCTAGTACAATATATAATACATATTATAGGTATATAAACTTCTATATTCCTCGTATGAACCTGAAACAAAATGTCAAATTACAACATTTGAATTGATTCGCAATTTTTGCACAATCAAATGGTAAGCAAATATAAACTCTAATGGGTCCATGGGTCCAGTTAAGCATGACCCTCTTATATATGCTTAAAAATCCCATCTAGATTACTATTTCACTAAGCAACGGCAGGGTTAAGGGATCATCTTAGGCTGGAATTCCACACGAGGCAAGTACAGGAAAACGCCGACGGTTGATTAACCCTTTGCACAGTCACGTAATAGCCGGTTGTGATATGAAAAAAATCGATCGGATACGAGTTAAACTCATATGCTGATGGTTCCGTAGAATGGCAAACAAGCTGACGACCCACCTGATGGTAAGTAGTAACCGTCGCCTATAGACATGAGCAGTACCATGGACATAACAGAGTATACTGTTTTGCCCATGATACCCCCCATGCGTTGCCATTCAGGACTCAGTTGTTATTCCTCTGTACCCTGTAACTTCACGCCATATCCCACCTTTCAAACTAAAACACAGCCATGCAAACACAACTGCTTTACGGTTGAAACACGAATGGGACAGAGGTACCCAAGCAAACGACTTTTGTATAAAGTCTCCCTCTGGTAAATTATAATATAATAATAGAGAAGAATAAAAGAGAAAAACATATTATGCCAACCCCAAATATTAATTGGAATAAGGGTAGGAGGATGATGATGAACCTTATTGGTACGGAACCCTAAAAATGATTTTCCGGAACGTGATACTATCATTGCAATCTACTATGGTTACATTCATTAGGCAAATGGATTTTCTGTTTGTATTCTAACCGGTATTATGTGCGTACGCTGTTATTGTATTAATAACAGGATCAAGTTATTACTTCGTGCGATCGATTGAATTTCGTAGAATTCATTTACCCGTATTTTTTTGTTTACAAATTATAAATTTATTTTCATAAATAAATTTCCATTTATTTTGGAATTCGAAGTTCATGATTGGAATAAAAAGGATTACAACTCGAACACGTGGCAAAACTAACTCTTGATAAAATATACTCGTAGACAACAAAATAATATTTGATATTCAAATGGTATATTAGTACAGTAGGGATATTATATTTACATTTTTACATATATAACATCTCCCTATTTAGAAATAAGAGAATTTTCATCGTGCCTCCTATAAAACTGTTTATAATTACTTCTCTCCATCCAAAGGTTGCCTGGAAGAGATCGCTTTTAGCAATAAGGACGACCATTGTTTTCTCATTGTGATTATTTCTTGTAATTGTTTATATCAATAATAACATTACTATTGTAATATTTTGGAGGAAACTATAAAGAGTATCTATAAAATTAATTAATAATAATAATAAAAGACTAGGAGAAAAGCAGCATATATTTTTCTCTACCCCATATTATAAGTGTATGTTAAATTTCATAGCGATTGATTAAGTCATTAAAGCGTTAAAAGGTAAGAAAAAACAAACTTACTTTTACATTTATAACATTAGTAAGGATTGTGGTATGATTAATATTTCAGTTCGGTGACAGAACACCATCTGAATCAATCAAAGATAACACGCTGAATAATTTTTTGGAAACTGACAAATATTTCCAATACAGTGTGTCCCAAATAAACGAAAAAAAAAACAGTAACGGTTAAATCAGCATAAGCCGTTAACCGTCCACTGCTGAATATGGGCCTCCTCTATAAATATGGGGGGTTTAGCCATTAGCTGCCACGCTTGGCAGACGGGTTAGTAACCGCAGTTAGGCTTTTGGTGATGTTTAAGAGAGATGCTGCAAGATGGAGGAGACGACTAAGGGAACTTAACAGTTAAGGAATGGGCCCCTTCACTGTTAAGTTCCCTAAGCCGTCTCTTACGACACTCATGTGAGAGGAAGAGGTGGACTATTTTATTCTGAGAGCACACGACATGAATTTAATACGTATAAGAAGCCTGGCTGGAAAAAAAAACGCATACATTAGTTGCATCGACAAGAGGAAACTTTTAAGTGAAAAGAGAGACATAAGAAACCTAATATAAAATAAACTCTATCATTGTTTATAGCTAAGGGAATTGCAATTAATTAAAGAGATATCACAAAACGTACACAAATTTAAACTATTTGTACGTTTGTTAATGCCTCCAGGACAATGATTTTCCAAGGGTTTGCATATAATAAAGCAGTTTACACACTCGAAAAAGAAATATAGTTAAATTCCTAGAATGAATTAAATTAAATAATGAGTAAATTAAATTACCTTTGAACTCCCACATACCCGTTGCACTGGCATGTGTTTACTATTTATGAATTCATTATTTAAAAAGAACAAGTAAATAATCCCTCTAATATTTGTAAATGAAAAAAATTACGAAGATGTATTAATGTTTATTAGCCATTACATTGGAAAGGACAGACCACTTTCTACTATCATATGACTCGCTATTGACAGGGAGTTTACCCTTATACCCTAGATCGTCACGTACAACGTGGTTTCAGAGATGTTATCTCCCACGAACGCTCAGGTTATGGAATGAGATCCCTGTCCAATTTTTTCCAAGAGACTACAGCATGGGATTCTTCAAAAAAGAGGTAAAGATGTTTCTTCAGGGTTAAAAATGCGCGCGTAATACCCCTAGTATTGCAGGCATTCATAGCTTACGGTAACCGCTTACTATCAGGTAGACTATGTGCTTATTTGCTACCTCAGTGACATAAAAAAACAGGTTATGTATTAGATTTAGGCATAGAGTTTCTTTATTATAATTATTGTAGACAATTATTATTATTGTGATTATACATTATTGTTCCGTAAATACTTTTGTGTCAAAATTTACTTGTACTATATGCATAGTTCTTAAATAATTTAAACACAGTAGGTATGCCATACAGTTCTCTTCTAATAGAAATTTCTTGACACACAAATACTCATGAACTTTATAGGAACTAGGTTTCTATTCTGTGTACTGATTTGCATTTATGCGTACTATCTAAACATTTGAAATCGTTTTTCAGATTTTTAGTTTCGAATTAAAGTCTGTACTGTAAGCACGGTTCTTAAATAATTTGAATACGTTAATTACTCGGGAACTTTACATGAACTAGGTTTCTGGTTTATGTACTAATTTGAATTCATACACGCTATCATTGCAAATGAATTTTCGGATTTTTAGTATCGGATTATAGTCTGTATTGTAAACACGGTTCTTAAATAATTTAAATACATTAAACTATCGATAGTTCACTTGAGCAGTAATTTGTAGACAGACAATTACTCACGGACTTTGTTTAGTTAAAATAAACTACGTGTCCTGTGTATTAATTTGAATATATACATACTAAATAACAATCATTATCAGTGATGAGTATTTTTTTTTCTTTTAATACTTAGCTATAATACGTAATTAACTTACTCTGAGTAACTGTTCATTAGCTTAGCTGTTCTATGATATAAATTTGAAAGTTAAACTATTTGTATATTTCTGTACCTTATAGAAATTTTATTATAGAAATAAAATAATAAATCATAATTTTAAAAATAAAGCTAACAAAATAGGATGTATGCTAAAAATAATTAGCAAAAATTTGTGAAAATATTACGTACTTAATATGCATAGAAGGAATATATTCGAATTAAAAAGCTCATCCTTTTTTAAGTCGATTGAAAAACTATTTGTAAAAAAAAGGAAATTTAATACATCGTCACCTACCTAACAATACGTGTTTACGTAATCGAAACACCTAAATATTCGTTACTTATACTGGGCCTACCCTGTCTATGTATAATTCTGAAAAATGTCAATAGACATAATACCTCGGACGTCTCGAAGGTAAATAAACCGTGGCGGAAGTTAAGTAGACAAAACAGCCTGCCAAACGATATGGAACCTTAAAACAATTTAGTAAGAAACAAGGCAATAATCATAAAATAAAGCGCAACAGGCTACTCATACTGGTACAGCGAAACCCTCACGCACACATAAATAGCTCGCACACAAAGACACATACTTGTGTGTGTCGCCAACATTTACACAGTAAGCCATCTGCTTCGTTTTATCTAATAAAAAACATTGGAGGCTTCTTTATTTAATAAATTGGATGATTCTGTACTGTATGTACTGTAGATCTAAATTGAGGTACAATACAGCCACCTTTACGCATATGAGCTAACAAATTTATATAATGTGTTTTACTATGATGCTAATGGCTAAAGTAACAACAATACAACTCGAGCTATCAAATAACATAAGAACTTATTCACACTGCAATCTACATACGGAAGCTCGGCGACAATAATGTAGAACTTTTTTGCAGAACATTTTTTATTTATAAAGAGGTTTCTTCAGAGATAATTGCTATCTCTAAAGAAACCTCTTTAGAGACGGTCCCTAGTATTTTAGGCGTTCATATGCTACGGTATCCGCTTACCATCAGGTGGGACGTATGCTTGTTTGCCACCTCAGTGGTGTAGAAGAAATATTCGGAAATGTATTTACGCTTGATGGAAATATCTGATTATAAATATCTAATATAGCGTGCGTTTTCACTAAAAATAAATGCATATTTACCATCGACTTGAAGAATACTAAATTGTACATTTCCAGGAACACAAAAACAAGAAGAGCGTTTCTTTAACAATTCGCGTTAGAAACAATGGATTTAAACTTTTTATACAATTACAAATATATTCTTTATTACACTTGAAAAAAAGATAAAGCGATTAGTTTAACAACTTCTCATCTCTTCCTGCCAACCCAATGCAGCGAGAAATAAAATAATTAGCGAGTAATCTAGTGCTGGAAAGGCACAGGAAAAAAGGTGTGCAAGGTAAATAGAAAACAAATAAAACAAACATACACAAATTGTAAATAAATATTTTTAATATATTATGATTTTTTTTTTATGCAACTTAGAATGGCAAACAAGCTGACGGCCCCCCTGATGGAAAGTGGTAACCGTCGCCTATAGACATGAGCAGTACCATGGACATAACAGAGTATACTGTTTC